CCCATAGAATACAACCACCACTGTCAGATGGGAGCCACAAGTGGAGAAGGCTTTATATCTTCCTTCAGCTGAGTTCATTCGGAGGATGGCCACAAGAATAAACACATAGGATAGAAGAACAATCAAAAGGGAGGAGAGCAAGTTACATCCTGAAAAGTTCAAAATGATCAATTCCAATTCACGTGTGTCAGAACAGAGCATGGACATCAGTGGGACAGAGTCACAGTAAAAATAGTTGATGATGTTCGCACCACAGAAGGATGATTGAAATAACTTCATGGTCAGAAGCAGGGACACAAATGTACTGTATAGAGTGACTACCAGCAACCAACGTACTCTCTGAGCCATAATGATCATATAGAGAATAGGTTTGCAGATGGCCACATAGTGATCATAGGCCATCGCTGATAAAATAAACAATTCAGAGATGATGAAGATCTCAAAAATGGCCAGCTTGGTGGCACACCAATTGTAGGAAATTGCATTTTTGTGAGCTACAAAGTTTACCATCATTTTAGGACCAATGAGAGTGGAGTAACCCAGATCAGTAATTGACAAATGTCTAAGGAAAAAGTACATGGGGGTGTGTAGTTTGGAGTCCAAATGGGTCAGGATAATCATGCCCAGATTGCCAACCACCGTGACCAAGTATACAGAGAAGATGATCGCGAAGAGAGGAGCTTGAAGCCTGGGGTTGTTGGTAATGCCCATGAGAACAAACTCGGTCACCATGGTGATAGCTGTATGATTTTGTTTCTCCATATGTTCATCTAAGTAACCTGTGTAAGATGTAAAACCAATATTACTTATGTTTAAGATGCTGACTTCTCAGAGAACTTAAAGCAAAACTATGCAATATTTTCTCTGTTACAAGTTCTATATAAACACTTCTCCCTTCATTGAACCAAAACCATCCATGATGACATTACTGATATAAAATCATGGAAACTTTGAAAAGGGAAAAAGGAGTATAAAATGGTTTTTGAATTTTTTACTTATTCTACTAAGGTACGTGATGTATAGAAATACTGATTTACAAAATGCAAATTTCTGTATTCAGCCTTAAAGATAATCACTTTGGGAAATGAAAGTGAACATCATCTTCCAGAATTTCCAGCTAGTATGAAGTGTTTTGATGAAGCTACTAAGATTTACTTCTTTTGATCCAAGGTCATTTTACATGTGCCCAAAAGCTATATATTACATTTCACTCAGCTATACAAAATGTTCATATATCTTATAAAACCAATATCTATATGTTAACCAGAAGCTGCATGCAGTTACACATCATCACTATCTATACGGTAGAAAAGAATGAAGTGATTTTTCAGATTTTTGTGGAACAAAAACTCAGGTGGTGAATGGGAAACGTGATGATTAAACATATGTTTCACTGCTTCCAATTATATTTGAGGGGAGAAAAGATATTACACAATTATATTAAAGATAAATTTTCCCTGAATCCTACCCATTCAAATTCTTGTCTACTCAATAAAAAAGATAATGTGCAACATTGTAAATTTAGAATTTTAAACTGGTAACTTAATATACAATTCCACAGCAGTCAGTTTGCCTTACTGCG